ATGCTGCCGCAACAAGAAACATCAAGGAGAGGAGAAGCAGCAGGAGAATGAAGCAGCAGCTATGGAAGGACTCCAGGACTCCCAGAAAAGCAGAAGCGGATTGCAAAGGGGACAACATGGCGTTGGACTTCTCAAAAAACGAAGAGGGGGCGGGTCTTGGGCTCTAGACCCGCCGAGAGCCCTAAAGACGTTCCGGGATAAGGGTGGATTGGGGAGTTTCGTTAGGATCGTGAGGATGTAGCTGAGTTTCCACGTTTTTATTTTCTGTTTTGTCATTTGCTTTGATCAGACTATTTTTGTTGTTGTCCTTGACTTTTATTTCGGTCAGACACTTGCATTAGGGTTGGATGATAAGGGGTCTATTCTTACCGCATTAGGCTCATTTAGACCCATTATAGGATAAGCGAGCCATATTGCTTTTTCCAGGATGATTGGCTCTAAGTCTGGTTCGAGGGTCGGCGGTTAGAAGTGGTCCTTTTATCTTCTTGTTCCCTTGCTGAATACTTTGATATCAATTTAAGGCGCTTTTTTCCAAAAAAAAAATGTACGACATTATACAAAAAAAAGGATGACACCCCATCCCTGAGGATCCCCCAACCCCGACCGGACGGTACGTTGGGAGGATGTAAATTGGACTATAATCCCAATCTGACAGATAGAGAGTGAGGCTCTGTCCCCGGTACTTGCAGAGGCCCTATGCATTTTTAGCATAGTAACCCCTCATCGCAGTTGCCGGGATTCGAACCCTGGACCTAACCCTTTGTGGCACTCCCTTGCTACCAGTTGAGCTACGCCCACCGGTACATTATATAATAACCTACCATGCATAAATGAACATATGATTGATCCCATCTCATTATTTACCATTTATTTATGCATATATAATCTACCTAGCTAAGTGTTTACCATATCTAATCCACCATCTTGAAGCGATACTTTATGTACCGTTAAATTTGATAGATAAAAATGGAGATATTTGAAGTATCTATTTTCCTATAATATTTTTGTGCGGAATTTTGATAGTGTATTTATTAAGAGTATTTGTTAAATAAAAAATATTATACTACATATAACTTACATATATAAATAAATGGGAACAAAAAAATTTAGGTACACGCCTTCTTAAGTAATAATATGACTAGATTTGTTTATGGATAATAGTGTGACGTGATTGATATATATTGATTCTTTATGTATATAAATTTTATAACCATAATTTGTACTTAATCATATTTATTTTATATCTATACTAGCTCCTTGTAACACATAAAGTGAGATGGATGAACAAAGATATTGTGGGTGTTTGAAAAATGGCTTTTCATAAAAAAATAACGGTTTTGACTCCTTTTAGTGTTTTCAATAAGTGAAAACGATGTTTGATAAATATAGTTGCTCGGCCTTAGCGTTTTTGGACGGAACTGCTGAAATGGAAACGCGGCAAATAGGAGAGTTTTATGTTATCGTTTTTAAATATGACATTTTATACTAATTATTATTACCAAACAACTAAGTTACCAAACATCTTTTGGCACATTGGCACCCGCTAATTTATTCCCCTAGTCAAACCCGCTAACAGAATCCACTATTAACAACCCACTAATATACTCTGTTATCCGTTATACTAAGTTACAAAACATCTTTTGACACCCCGCTAATTTATTCCCCTAGTCAAACCCGCTAACAGAATCCACTATTAACAACCCACTAATATACTCCGTTATCCGTTATACTAAGTTACCAAACATCTTTTAGCACCCCGCTAATGTATTCCCCTAGTCAAACCCGCTAACAGAATCCACTATTAACAACCCACTAATATACTCCGTTATCCGTTATCCGCAATCTACTAACCGCTAAATGTCAAACACGCCCATTATAAAATAAGTAATTTCACTTCAGGATGAACCATATTAGAAAATTTAAAGTAGCAAACTTTAAACTTAGACACATTCTTTTTTGTTTAAGGAAACTTAGACACATTCTATTACTCATGAAAGTGAAATGGTTTTTCATATTAATTACGTATATGATGTATCCGAGAGATAGTAAAAAGTAATGTATAGAATAACCATTATGTAGTATAATTGCCACTAAATAATATGAGATTGTAATATAATACAAATTGTTACCACTTAAGAGGGGCGTATCTAGGGGGCAACCTAGGCCCTAGCTCACCCAAAATTTTAGTTTTACTTACATTATTAAGGTAAAAAAAGTCGTGTAAAAAAATCTAAAAATATTTTTTGTACTGGTCTACTATAATAATTCTCCCTTCCTAGCTAGGCCACTGATTGTTACCATCTTCGTTAGACAAGATAGATTGAGGACGTAATAATATTTATTTGATAATTTTAGAAGGAGTATTAATTAATGTATCACCAACAAAAAATTTCACATGTACTCTAATATAATTTTATATCATGTTTTAGTTCTTATATACTTCCTCCGTTCCTGAATTATTTTTCAAATTTCCTTTTTCATCTGTCTCAAAGTAATCTTCCGTTTTCCTTTTTGTTAAGAAATTTGTGATTCACAGTAATTCTTATATAATCCTCTCTTTAGAGTCATACAAAATTCACCAAATTTAGTATGCGACAATCTTAGGAGGATTTCCCGAAAAAAAAATAAGACAACCTTAGCGGGACAAAGAGAGTATTATATAGTACCTCCTTCCAACTAATGTTTGAGACTCATGCCGTTATTATGAAAATTAAATTTATGTAGTTGATATTGAATTGATAAAATAAGAATAAAGTAATAATAATTTAGAATCACACAAATTTTATCAAATTTGATTTGGGACAATCTTCACATCTCCATACTCTATAGGAACTAATTACCTATTCAAATAGATTATTACTCAATATTATTATATTATTACTATTAACTATTATTAATATTAACATACCCGATTTGACTATTCAATTTAATTAAAAACAATAAACATGCATGATTATACACGGATTCATCATCACCATTGTATGCTTCAATCTCTTCACCATTATTGAAGGTGTCCAGGCGTCTGATATTTAGTTTTTAACCATAACAATGATGATAACTGCATTTCGTTAATTAGCCATTCCAATACACATACCTATATCACATCAATATACGCACTGACCTCTCAACTGGGAGCCATAAAAATTAAAAAAATGTACGAGAAGAGAAAAACACTACCAAACAGTCCGAAAATAAATTGCATTTTATATGATAATATCTTGCTTGCTAGTACAAAAGTTGGTCCATCAATATATGTGGCGTTTAGAATTGATTCAACTTCACCTTCTTTTCTCAAACCACAAATAAAATAGAATCACTTTTCAGGATTTCTAAAAAATAAAATAGAAGCTGAATTCTCCCAATTTCTAAAAAACTACTCTACAGGATTTTTGACCACTCAAAAATACTCCTGCTCTTTCACTCAAACACTCCAATATCCGCTTCTGTTTCTTGAAAGAACATAAGCACTTAATTAGGATACCAATTTTTAATTATATTCCAATTTAAAATGTGCAACTTTTTAGGGTTTTGAATTTAGTTTCTGAAAATGTAAATATTAATTACTAAAAAGTGAATTAATGATTAATATGAAGGATTTAACTTTACTGTTGATTGACAAAATATGTTGATTTTATAAATCCATTTGGGACGGAGGGGGTATGAAATTCCCATTGGCAGGGGCGGATCTTCATAGGAGCTAGGGTGGGCTCCAGTCGACTCCAACCCCAATTTTTTTTAATTATAGGGACAGGTTTATAAAAAATTGATGTTCAGATCCCAAACAAAAAAAATTCAAAAACTCAATTTATTGAAGGTCTTAGAGATTAATTTAAAATATATAATTCATAATTTTAGTCCTTGTAATTTTTAGTACATCATAATTTCATATACAATTGAAAATTAGAGAATAAATTTAAATTGAAAAGTTTAACGTGTCAATGGTCAAATATTATGCATACTATTTCCATCCCAAATTGATTTGCAAAGTCAATTTTTTTGGTCAAATGATTTCATTTTATTCGCTTAATTAGGATACCAATTTTTAATTATATTCCAATTTAAATTGTGAATCTTTATAGGGATTTGAATTTAGTTTCTGAAAAGTTAATTATTTATCAATGGGAGGATTTAACTAAAAGTTGTACTCCCTACGTCCTAACTTGACATTCTGGATTTTACCTTTTGGACATCAACTAAAACATTTTCATTTCTATTTTAGAAAATAATTAATACTTTAATTAATTGACAATTAGTGATCAATTAGTAATCATTAATATCCCCATATATTATGTTACCCACCCATCAAAACTATCTCAGAATATATTCACATTATCTTATTTATTCATTATCTAAGTAATACTCCCTAGCTCCATCCCACTAGAAGGTTCCTGTCGACGGTTTACGATGCTTGACTCACGATAAAACAACTTAATCTCTGTTCATACTCTGATTATTTTTAGTAAATAAAAGTAACATATTCAGAAACTACATTAAAACTGATATGCACTAATTAGTAGTGCATAAATGTATATTTTTATGATTGATTTGTGTGTATTGTTTACCGTTTTATTTAGTTTGTAAACATTTATGTAATTTCAGTTGTAATTGTATTTTATTCTTTATTTATAAGTTGTAAAGTATAGTTAGGATTTGTAGTGTTGGAAAGGAAGACTTTGAAGAGAAGAAAACAAGAAATAAATTTGACTGCCCAGGAGTGAAACCCGACCGGGTAGAAACCCCCACCCGGTCGGGTAGGATTTAACAGACGAAATTGCCAAGAAAGTCACTGGACCCGGTCGGGTCCCCTACTTGACCCGGTCGGGTCAGATGTGACCCGGGACAAAACGACGTGCGAAGATCACCAGAACGTGGCGGATTATCTGATTTTGACCGGACCCGGTCGGGTATGTACCTATACCCGGTCGGGTACCCGGCCAAAGGTGTTGAAAAACACCTATAAATAGCACTCCTTTTCTCCTCTAAAAATCATCCCTTCTTCCATTCTCTTTAGCTCATTTAGAATAGCATTTCTTTATATTTTTCTAGCTATGTTTAGCCTCCAAATGAGGAGCTAAACTTCCATTCTTGGTGTTGCTCTTGAAGCTTGTTGATTATTAAAGTTGTGAGTTATTTTCTTAACTTCTTTCCTTGAATATTAATTAATAGTTCTTTCCTTAATACCATCTCTATATTAATGTTGGGGAGTGTTGCTAAGATGACAATTAGTTAACATCTCGACATTAGTTAGAATGGTATTTTCTTCCCCTATATTAATATTGAGGAGTGTTGCTAAGATGACAATTAGTTAACATCTTGATATTAATGATAGTAGGATTCATCTTCTTTAATAATATTCTTCCTTGAATATTAATTAATCCCTACTCATATTTCATATTAATATTTTGAACATTACTTAAAAGATCAACTAGTTTTGTTTCATATATTAATTATTACTAGAAGCGATCAACGAACCGATGGTTAATCGTTGATGGTTTCACAAGTAAGTAACTTCGGTTTATTAATGCACGGTCGTGGTTAATAAACTTAAGAGGGATTAATTTTGTTGGTTAAACCGAAACCGTTGTGTTGAGGTTATCAATCTCAATTGATTTCATCAAGGAGTTAGAAAGATTAAATGCTACTATTAAATCGGTATAAGACGTTGTTCTATATTTGATTAATAGTAAGGGTTATTAATGAACGGTTGTTGTTAATAACTACCCTTGATGAAGTGGATATACTCCCCGATTGAGTATTCGAGAGGGAATAAGTTATAGATATAACAATGATCGACTAAAATATATCAACAAGTGGAAAGTAGCAATGCCAAGTCCTTTTTATCTTTGAATTAAATCTCATATAGGTTGTTCATCTTAGTTCTTAATTAAATTAAATCACTCAATCCAAATCCCCCCTTTTACTTACTAAGTATCATAAAAAGAGAAATATTCTTTCCCCTGTGGATACGAACTCTACTACGCTATACTACGTATAAGTGTTTAGTATTGAATTTATTTTGACGCACCGTGACAAAGTGCTCGTCAAAAACCGCTACAAAGCCTGATAAAAAATGTAAATTTGATAAAAATTTGATTTATAGTGTAAAAGATTAAAAATGATTTAAGTTGACCATGTGAATAGTGGACGGAAACCTTCTAATGAGACGAAGGTAGTACTATATATCATCTTAAGGTGCAATGAGATAGTAGTACCTAAGAGACATTGCAGACCAATGGGACGAAGATCTGTTTTGTCACGGATTTTTGTCACGGGTTCGGGCCGTGATAAACTTGTCACGGGCATTGTCACGGAAATGTCTGATTTGACCAATAAATATTTGTCACAGATAAATTAATTACAAATTCCGTGACAAATAGCTTCCGACGACTGACAATTTACTCTGGCCATTTTTTTAGTTCCAGGCACTTTGTCACGGCCGGATCCGTGACAAAATCTGTGACGAAGCTGAATTATTGAATTTTCAACGGTCACTGTATTAATGGTGTACGGAAAAGTGTTTGTCACGGCCGGATCCGTGATAAAATCTGTGACAAAGCTGAAGTATTGAATTTTCGACGGTCACTATATTAATGGTGTACGGAAAAGTACGTCTTTGTCATGGCCGGATCCGTGACAAAATCCATGACAAAAATGTAAACTTAATACACTGTTTTTACTAAAATAAACACAAAAAACTTATTCTTATAAAAACTGTTAATAAACTGTCTTATAAAATTAATACAAACAATTCTTTTTTACAAAAAAATAATACATAGTTTTCAAAGTTATAAAAAAATAATAGGCCGTTTTTGATAACTAATATGGAATAGATTGTTTTTTCAAAGTTGTAAAAAATTAATTTAAACAATGCCGACCCCCTCATGTAAAACTCATACACACAGTTTAACATGTTATATATGTTTTCAAAACCAAACATTTTAAAAAATTTGTCCCCTCATGTATAACTTGCAAAAAAAGTTGAACATGTTACATTTTTGAGCAATTAATGCAAATATGTATTGTTTCAGTTATAAAAAAATTAATTTAAAAAAATTCGACCCCTCATATTAAACTCATACACTGTTTAATATGTTATATATATTATTTCCAAAAATAAACTGTTTTAATAAAACTTCTAAAAGATATAATGTTCTATTATTAACACACTAATGTTTCAAAATATACCTAAATCATTTTAGATGAGTGACCTACCTCGTCGTTCTATCTCGAACTGTCACGGTGGCTCGAACTCACGACGCCCCTCGAATGTGAACATTGATATCAATGATGATATCAATGATGATGGGGGACATGTCCAAACACCTCCGTCACAACAATCCGATGCCGGTGGAAGTTACTGGTGGGCGTAGCTCAACTGGTAGCATGGGAGTGCCACAAGGGTTAAGTCCCGGGTTCGAATCCCGGCAACTGCGATGAGAGGTTACTAATTTACTATGCTAAAATGCATAGGGCCTCTGCAAGTACCGGGGACAGAGCCACATTCTCTATCTGTCAGATTGTGATTATAGTCCAATTTACATCCTCCCAACTTACTGTCCGGTCGGTGTTGGGGGGCCTCTCAGTGATGGGGTGTCATCCTTTTTCCGATGCCGGTGGAAGCACCTCGCATGCAGGTGAAGCATCAACCTCCCGCGCAGGTCCATCTCGCCCTGCATTTGCCCCCCCCCCAACTGAAGCCGAGCGCAACAATCCTGCTGCGTTTTGGGTGACACCTCAATCGATTCATAGATAATTAATTACTAACTCTCTCTAATTTGAAAGAATGCAATCGATACTTCTATAAATTGTCATACATATTTTTATCAATTATGAATTTTTTGAAGCGATAATGAGGTGTTGAAAAGAATCAAGCATATAGTTGGCGGGCATTTCAAGGGAAATTGGGCGACTTATGGGAATGTTCCGGCGGCCACCCGTGAACTTTGGTGGCAGTTGTTCAAGGTAAAAGTAAATGATTTTTCTTACATTTTAGTAACTTAAATTTAACAAGTGATATATCAATTTTTTAATGAAGTCCCAACATTGATGGAGTTCATCGCTAGATGAGGCTATTCTCAAAGCATATAATTCATGAATCTCGACGTGGATGAGACCCACTTTTAGGATCGCCCGAAATAGTGGTAAAAAGCCGGGATTCCTTTCTGATGATGTTTGGGAGAACCTTTGTCGACATTGGGCTTTGGATCATGAATATTTGAAGAGAAGCCAAACCGGTAAGGTAAACCGAAACTCCGACAAAGCCAAGGAGATACAATATAATGGCACGGGGGCCGCAAACCCCAGGATCAACATAAAAAAGACCTGGTAAACTCTAATTCATGAAAACTTGGTACCGTTACATCCCCTCATATATATAATTCTTTTTAAGTAATTTGAAATCCGTTTAGGAAGGGTCGGGACCCGAGAAAAAGAAGGTCACACCATTGGCCCTGATCAAACATTGTTGGACGAAGGGTGATGAGTCGCTGCCACCTCACCTCTCCGAAATTGAAGTAAATAACGTAACTCCAATTATTCAATAAATTCCGAAATAAATTTTATGTTGACTATAATACATTTTTGAACTTGTAGAAGAAGTATGAGAAAGAGTTGGAGAAGAGACGGGCCGAGCGAAGTGGCTCAGATATATGACGAACTCGATGAGAGTCAAGATGATGATGCCATCTTGGCGGCTGCCAGAGTTTACAAGGGCCGGGTTCTGTTTATGGGTGCTGAAGGTGTACGGATTTTGCACAACTCCGGAGGAGCTAGCTCATCTTCCCGACCGGCGGATGATGAATGGGTTGCCCGTCTGAAGAAAGAATTGGTGGAACGACGGGAAGAGAACCGGAGAACAAGAGAAAGTCTGGAAGAGATGGAACGCCAAATGGATCGTTTCAACGCCACCTATCGGCCTCCCACACACATAATGCACCCTGAGACGATCGACCCCTCAAATTCCCTTCATGGGAGGTATGGGCGGTATGGGTGACGCTATGGGTTTCCCCAGTTATAACACTTTGTCCAGGTCTTTTCCGTATGGATTTTATGATCAACCATTTCAGACTCCCGGAGGTCAAGCCAGCCGAGGAAGCAGCCATGGCGGTGGGCAACCCGAACAGCCCGAAGAGCCCGAAGCGCCCTAAGCACCCGATGATAATGATAATGTACTAATTGATTTTGATGACTATACAAACTTGTAATAATTAGTTTATTTTAAATTTGATTTTTTATTAAATTATTGTGATTGCATGTATGAGCTTTTTTTCTATTTAATTTTTATATAATGTTTATTCGTGCTGTGATTGCATGAATTGTTTTTATAATAATGTTTAATTATTATAAAAATTTAAATGAACTTTTAAATTTGAATTTTTATTATAAGTACGCAGAAAATATTTTTAATTTTTTTTAAATATAAAATGTTTGTCATGGATTCATTCTGTGACAAATGTTTTACAGTTTTTTAAAAAATTAAAACATACTTGTCACGGAATAGGTCCGTGACAAACAATTCAAATTTTTTTAACATTTAAAATATTTGTCACGGACTCTGTCCGTGACAAATTGAAAATTTCAAACTTTTTATTCCCCGCCCAACGGATTTCTGAAAAAATAAAAATAAACACGTAGTCACTGATAATTCCGTGACAAAAAATTCAATATTTTTAAAATACAAAATAGTTGTCACAGATTTTGTCCGTGACAAAATGAAAAAATGAACCGGCACAGGGACGTAGCTAGGGGAGGGCCAGCCCTGGCCCTGGCCCAACACAAATTTAAAAAATGTCTAAATTTTTAGTGTAAAAAGTTTCGTGTGAAAATTTTTTCAAAAAAATTCTTTGTACCGGCCAAGTCCGGCCCAGTGCCCTGGCTCCGCCCCTGAACCGGCACAATGCTCCGGTGACGATTTTGTCACGGAAGATGACCGTGACTAATCCGTGACAAGAGTAGTCACAGATCTGTATCCGTGACAAATACTTTGTCACGCCCGTTTTGTCACGGATGTAGGCCGTGACAAAATCCGTGACAAAAAAAACTTTGTCACGGATTTTTTGAACTACTAGCCGTGACAAAATCCGTGACAAGCCCTTAATTTTTTTGTAGTGTTTGAGTGGACTACAACATCCTCTTCAGAGTAAAGATTAAAGATTTGCAGCTCATGCTACAAAAAACACAAGAACTTGGTCACGGATTTTATCATGAATCATAAAGTAAAATTTTTGTGACAAAAATCTTTGTCACGGATATTGTCAATGATTTTTTCGGTGACGTCACAAGCGTGACAAACAGTTGTCACGGCCAAAATTCCGTGAGAAACTATGTCACGGAGTTTGTCACAAGCCAATCCCCGCGAAACCTTCCGGCTTGACTTTTGTCATGGAAAATATCCGTGACAACTTTTGTCACGCACAAATGCGTGACAAAACGTTTAACCGACACATTTTTATTTTTTGTTTGTCACGGACAGAATCCGTGAGAACATGGGAGGGAAAATTTAAAATTTAAAATTATTCACGGGTTTGTCACGACTGGGATCCGTGACCAACTTTTGTATATTAAAAAAAATCATTTAAAGCATGTGAATTAAAATGGTGGCCGAATTAAAATAATTCAATTTTGTCACGGCCGAAATCCTTGACAAATAAAATATTACATTTAAAAAATTATTACATTAAAATAATTCAATTTTGTCATGGCCGAAATCCTTGACAAATAAAACATTACATTAAAAAAATCAAGAACCGAAAATAAATAGCTGAATTACAAACACAGGCTACTAGTACTATTACATATTTATGGGGCTATGAGGATTCCTGTTGGGATCCAAAAACATGTTCACATCAAATTCCACGTTAGGATGAGAACTTGACTCGGTTTGACCGGTTTGACCGTCCCCTTATCGGCCGCCTTGACCGTATTGACCTCCACGCGGTCTTGGAGGAGTAAAAAATAGGTGACCATCTTGAAAATACGGAAGAGGCGGTGACATTCTAGACAAGTTAGTTGGCATTCCGGAATACGGTGGGGTAGAATTGAAACCCATGCATTTGGGGTTGCGTTAGAGGCCGCCATGTGGCAAATAATGCATTCATTTGACTTTTCATGACCTCCAATTTTTTCTCTATCTTCGACTCTTCTTCTCGGAGTTCTCGTTCTCTTTGCAATTCTCTCTCATGCCGGACAACCCACTCTTCACTCACCACTGCTTGAGAAGACGAACTTGCCCCTCGAGAATTTTTCAAAATACGCCAAGATTGAGAACCCATGCACGTAACCCGACCTTTCGTCACACCAGCTGCCGTCAAGAAGGCGTCATCATCATCCTCACTACCAATTGCGAGAGTAATGGCAGACTTATCAATGTGTGTGGTATCCCCGGATGTCATATATATACATATATATATATATATAGGGAGTGGTTCCGGTGAGAAAGGACTCCCAGGAGAGAAATGAGAATGTATCTGGATCGTTGGATTGTATCATGTGAAATTGAATTGTGCATTTGATAAAACTGAAATGTTCATTACGTGAAATTGAAATGTGCAGAATGAAAAGTAAAACTCAAATATGCATTACATGAAAATGAAATGTGCAAAATAAAAGACACAAAAATGTCACTGCATCGTAGTTTTTATTCTGCACATTTCAATTATGGACCTTTTGGAATAGAGCCTTTTTTATAACACTTGTTTATTTGACATTTTTTGAGTTATTGTTTAATTTGCATAAAAGTTAATTTGGTTAGTGTGTAGTCTAATTGGATAGAAACTGTTAAATAATAATAGTTATTTATTATATAATTGTTTTTAATAAACCTACGGAAGTATAGCTTCCAGGAGGTATTAGGACTTACGTAATGTTTAGTAGTCCTATTAGGACTCTTTCTTTTGATGTATTATAAACCAAGCCGGTGAGATCAATGAAAACAAGGCAGTTCAACTTTATTTCTTATTAGTTCTGCTTTTATGGTATCAGAGCCACGCTCGTGTGAGCGTAGTTGATTTCGCCGGCGGACATGGCCAACGGCAAAGAGAATGAAGACGGCGGTGCTTCATCAATAAAAATCGATCATACTTCTCCATATTATCTTGGACCTCAAGATAGACCGGGGGACTATATTACTCCTATTCGGCTTCATGGTGAGAACTACGACGACTGGGTAGGATCCGTTCGTTTGGCGCTGAAAGCGCGACGTAAATTCGTGTTTTTAGATGGATCAATAAAAACCTACGAAAATCATTGTACGGAGGAAGATTGGCAAACTATTCATTCTATGCTCGTGTCATGGTTGATGAACACCATAGCACCGGAAGTGAGAAGTACCCTTTCTCAATACGAAGATGCAAAACTTTTGTGGGAAGATCTTAAAGAAAGATTTTCAGTTGTGGATGGACCACGTATCCATCAATTGAAGGTCAACATAGCAAGATGTGAGCAATCGCCCTCTATGACGGTTGCAAACTATTACGGACAGCTCAAGATGTGGTGGGATGAATTAAATAATTATGAACCACTCTTGAGTTGCACATGTGGGAAGTGTACATGCAAGCTCGGAGAATTGCATGCACAACGACGTGAGTCCGAGAGATTTCATCAGTTTTTGATGGGCTTAACTCCTGACTTTTATGCACAAATACGATCTAATTTGTTGTCTCAAGAATCTCTGCCAACCCTAAATAGAGCGTACCACCAGATAACGCAAGAAGAACGGGTGCGTGGAACTGCTCAGAAAAGGAAGAAAACCCTGAAATTATGGGTTTTGCGGCAAAGGCTGTGGGACAGGAAAATAATAAAGCCTCTAAAGTGGAAAAATCTGGAATGGTTTGTACACATTGCAATTTTCCAGGCCATGAGATCACTGGTTGTTTTCAATTGATCGGTTATCCGGATTGGTGGGGAAACCGCCCGCGAGGAATAATCAAAGGTACTGGACAAGGCAAATCAGGAACAGGACGCGGCTCGGTTGCTGTAAAGGCGCATGCAGCAGCCAGCGAACATATTATTCCACAGTGCAGTTCGCAGAAGGAGGGAGAAGCTTCTGCCACGGCTTTACCTAGTTTTACTGCTGAGCAATGGCGTGCACTCACAGCGGCTTTCGGTAAAAACTCAGCTTCTTCTGATCATATGACCGGTAAGTTTAATTCTTCTCTGTGGATACTTGATACCGGAGCAACGAATCACGTCACTGGAAGTGTTGATTTTCTGTCAAATATTTGCAATGTGAATAAAATCCCAGTCAACTTGCCTAACGGACAGGTTGTGACGGCAACGAAGGAAGGAACAGTCCTATTGTCAAAATCTGTGTCATTAACAAATGTTTTATATGTACCTCAATTACGATGCAATTTAATTTCTGTGTCACAGTTGACGGATGATCTAAACTGTGTTGTTTTCAATTGTCGCTAATATGTGTGTTATTCAGGACCGACACTCGAGGAAGCTGATTGGAACGGGTGAACGATGGGATGGCCTGTACTACTTTAAACAAGATTCTGGACAGTGTGTGGCGGTGAATGGCGTGGACTTACCAGCAGATCTTTGGCATAAAAGGCTAGGGCATCCGTCTGAAAATTTAATTAAATCTTTGTCTTCTGTTGAGAGTAGTGTTGATTCTCCTTGTGACATTTGTTTTCGTGCCAAACAAACTCATGAAGTTTTTCCATTGAGTAATAATAAAGCTAGTCGGATTTTTGATTTGATTCATATTGATGTTTGGGGTCCATATCCGACTGTATCAACTTGTGGAGCCAAAAGTTTTCTCACAATTGTAGATGATTTTTCACGAGCTGTGTGGATTTATCTTTTGGTTGATAAAAAGGAAGTGTACCCACGATTCATGTCTTTTGTTGCTTTAGTAAAATGTCAATTTTCTCAAACCATTCGTTGTGTGCGAAGCGATAATGGAACTGAGTTTAATTGTCTTAAGCAATATTTTAGTGACCATGGGGTTATTTTTGAGACATCGTGCGTGGGAACTCCTCAACAAAATGGACGTGTGGAACGTAAACATCGTCATATATTAAATGTTGCTCGAGCTCTGCGTTTTCAGGGTGATTTGCCTATAGATTACTGGGGGGAGTGTGTGTTGACGGCAGGATACTTAATTAATCGCACACCGTCCAAAGTATTATCTCAACGCACTCCTTATGAAATTTTGTATGACCGCAAGCCAAATTATTCTGAACTTCGGGTCTTTGGATGCCTGTGTTATGCGCATAATCTTAGGGCGAAGGGTGACAAGTTTTCTTCTCGAAGCCGCAAATGTGTATTCTTGGGCTATCCTTTTGCCAAAAAGGGGTGGCGTTTGCTTGATCTGGAGAATTCTGAAATTTTTGTGTCTCGAGACGTTAAATTTTTTGAAGACGTATTTCCCTTTTCCACGACACCAGAACCTCCTGAACACGAAGTTGGCATAGATGCTATGGCTGATAACATGGATGTATTTACTACTTTTGAGCCACATGCACAAGCTACACTCCCAGAATCTGCTACGGGAGTGGGTACACCTGCGGTCACGGAAGCCACATCAGATACTCCACCTCGGGATTTTCGTGAAGCTATTGTCGAGGCCCCTGCATCTCCCGAAGAATTTTTTGCTCAACCTGTTCGTCGTGGGACACGTGTCAGGTACCCTTCTGTGCGACTTCAAGATTACGCCACACACACTGTCATTCCTCCTCGGCCATCCCAAACACACTCGGGTCCTCAGCATTCCTCAGGTAATCCGTTTCCTATAACACATTATATTAATTGTGATAAATTTTCTAACAAGCATGTGAAGTTTCTTGCTGCTATTACTGGTGTTCATGAACCAAATAATTTTCGAGAAGCCATGGCAGAGGAAGGATGGCGTAAAGCAATGCAGTCTGAGATTCAGGCTCTTGAAGACAATGGTACCTGGGAATTGACATCTTTGCCCCCCGATAAAAAGGCTTTGGGGTGTCAATGGGTATATAAAATCAAATATCGGGCAGATGGGAGCGTGGAACGATTCACCTCGTTGTTGGTTTGCTAAATTAATTGGGGCTTTGAAGTCTTACGGTTTTCTCCAATCCTATGCTGATTACTCGTTGTTCACTTTTTCTCGTGGAACCACACAACTTAATGTTTTAATCTACGTTGATGACCTGATTATTTCTGGCAACGATACTGCCGCAATCCTCTTGTTCAAAAATTATTTACATGCTTGCTTTCATATGAAAGATCTTGGACCTTTGAAATATTTTTTGGGCATTGAAGTTGCTCGTAGTCCAGAAGGTCTATTCCTTAGTCAGCGCAAATATACCCTGGATATTCTTGCTGAAACTGGCCTGCTTGGGGGAAAGCCCGTGTCTTCACCAATTGAACAAAACCACTGCTTGGCTCGTTCGGAGAGCCCTCTTCTGCGTGATCCGGGTCCTTATCGTCGTTTGCTTGGCCGGCTGATTTACTTGGCAGTTACTCGTCCTGATTTGTCTTATTCAGTTCACATACTCTCTCAGTTTATGCATGCTCCGAGGGATGATCACTGGATGGCCACTTTGAGGATAGTTCGTTATTTGAAAGGAACGCCAGGACAAGGGATTTTACTTCGGTCTGATAGTGTTCTTTCTCTGACTGGTTGGTGTGATTCTGATTGGGCTGCTTGTCCGCTCACCCGCCGGTCCATTTCTGGTTGGACAGTTTTCTTGGGTCATTCTCCTGTTTCCTGGAAAACCAAGAAACAAGTTACAGTTTCTCGTTCATCTGCTGAAGCCGAGTACAGATCGATGGCAGCAGCCACTTGTGAACTAAAGTGGCTGAAGGCTTTGCTTTTAAGTTTGGGTGTTAATCATTCACATGCTATTCCTCTGTTATGTGACAGTCAATCCGCTCTTCATATTGCCCGAAATCCGGTCTTCCATGAACGTACGAAGCATATTGAAATGGATTGTCACTTTGTTCGTGATGCTATTCAAGATCGACTTATTGCTCCCTCCTATGTCCCGACTACATTACAGCTTGCTGACATCTTCACTAAAGCTTTGGGGCCTTCTCAATTTCAGTTCTTATTACGCAAGTTGGGCATTTGTAATCTACATGCTCCAACTTGAGGGGGGTGTTAAATAATAATAGTTATTTATTATATAATTGTTTTTAATAAACCTACGGAAGTATAGCTTCCAGGAGGTATTAGGACTTACGTAATGTTTAGTAGTCCTATTAGGACTCTTTCTTTTGATGTATTATAAACCAAGCCGGTGAGATCAATGAAAACAAGGCAGTTCAACTTTATTTCTTATTAGTTCTGCTTTTAGAAACACTCCTAATTTAGTGAGGCATAATTTGATATGCATTCCTTAAATGTACAAAGACAATAATAAGAGAGTATTGGAGTTTCCGTAGTGAATGTGAATAATTCATAGTCAAAAAGTTAAGAAAAAGTTGAAGTATGATAGTGGCACAAATAAGTTTAATATTATTTTTGTGACAGAAGAAAAAAATAAAATCTTAAGACTTAAGAAATTGTGTTATTGTGATATTAAATTCTAACATTTGCATATCTTTAATAAGAGTGTATCTAACTTATATACCATAATTTAGAAGTTGCAGATTGCCATAATGTGTTGTTGAGTATGCACAACTTTCAAATATGCTCAACATTTTTCACAATTACATGCCTACACTATTAATGGTATTATTGTGTAGAAATGACACTGCTAATCACACTTTGAATATTCGTAGAATTGATATTTAAAAGACACAGAATTTGCATGGACGTTTTGATATATTTTAAAAGGGATTTAATATTTTCATGAAATTTGCAGGAATGATTTGCATTAAAAATACTACTAATTCAATGACACAGAATTTAATATGTACTTTAAATGTGCAAAGTCAAAAAATTAGAATGAAGGTACTCCCTGTAGGAAATGTGAAGAATTGATGGTAATGAAGTCAAGAAATAAATTGAGTTTATGAAAGCAGCACCACACACAATTATTATACAAGATACAAGAAAAAAATAACATTAAAGACCAAAGAAATTATGTTACTATGATAATTAAATTATTATAAGACTGCTTCTAACTATATCATAGTGTATACGTTGTAGTAAGTTTACTTTTCAATAGATTATATAGGCTTACATCCAAAGGTCATACCTAGGACCCTCTTTATTAATAGTAATCAATTATCTAAATACTTAATATGCATCATAGTAATAAGTTTCAAATACATAGATAATCATTAGTAAGATGCCATAGTTATATTAGCTTGAATCTAACACTTTTGGTGCTTCTTTCCTTTGTTTTTGCCTGAGGTCGTTGCAATTGTTGGGAGGTCTGGCAATTGTGCTTCTTTGCATTGTGAGTCATTGTTCTCGCCTTCAGTGATCTTCCTCTTTCCATTCTGGGGAATTTGGCAGCTCATTGTCATGCACAACAGTGGATTGAGCATCACTGGATGTAGGAATATCTATTGGAAAAGAAAGAGAAAGCACAGATAAATTCTTTTTTGCCTTTGAATGTATATTAGGACGCACTATTTTAAGTGCAACAATGAAAGTGAGAGCCTTGACTTTATCATTCAAGCTGGTAAAGTCAATGCAATCGGGATTGGTGTTAATTTCTAGCATCCGTAGCAACTTGTACACTTCATTGGTGAATAGATTTGTTTGTAGTTCCCCAATTGCATCAGAAATCTCAACACTCAATCGAAATCTGCAATTGTGATACTAAATGTTTTTTGTGCTAACTTAATAAAAGATTATAAATTAAAAGTTCTAAGATTTACCTCTTTGTGCTAACTCCATTAATGTTACCACAAATCAAACATTGAAAATGAACACCTTCACTCGTCGAGTTAATGCCTTTATTGCAACTATTGCAAACGATGTAAAACGGAATGAAACCGTTTTCCAGAAATCTTAAGGTGCCCAAAATCCAAAACTAGCGATAGCCCGTGACTAAGACTAAATTAAGAAAACTCCTCCGCCATTCCTCAAGAGACACGATACTCGGGGAAAAACCGAAAGGTTAGACTCCGTTTTACTACAACGCCGCGTAAGCGGTCATCACATACCCGATCGGGTATGTCGGTCTACCCGATCGGGTATAGACACTCGATCGTGGTCAAAATCTTCCCTGCATGTTCCTTTGTCTTCGGATCTGATCCGATTTGAAATTTCAACAAGATACCCGATCGAGTATAGGTCATACTCGACCGGGTATAGACCAAAAAATCAGGATCTTTTTTTTGTTCTTTTGATTTTGCACCTTCCTTCCACTTTTGGGGTTCACCAACTGTCCTTTGAGTGATCAAGACCTGTTGGAGCTCAGAATAAACCTAATCTAAACAATTTACAAGAATTTAACAAACTAAACTATTACACCAAAAGTGTGTAATTTCCAAAGTAGAAATCACTCAAAACTAATTAATTAAAAATACAAACATACACATGGAAATTACATGATTATCATGGAGCTAAAATCTAGTAATACACAAAAATAGCACAAATTAATATCCTTCTGAAAAATCTAGTAACATAAAAAAAAAGTTTGAAATGATATAACTGGAAACCACCGAACCCTGAGCATTTCATCACCAAAATAAATAGACACAGTTTATCATTCCAAACAAAGCCCATATCATATAATAAAAAAAATGTGGTCAAACCAAACAACATTCAATTCAAACAAAAACATTCAGTTCTAACAAAACATAGAGGTCAAACAAAACATTCTGCAATAGCAAATACAATCTCCCAAACCATCAAATGGTGGGCAAAACATGCTGCGAAATAAAACTTAGTATTTTCTTAGCAAAAATATTAAGACTAATAGCAGCTCATTTCTCCAATTTGACAATCTTTCTCATTTTCTTCGATGAAGAGGTGCATGAGGAATCCCCAATCAAATCCCTCTTCAATTTTTCTCCAGTGCCTGCACTCTTGTGCTTTGCGTTGTTGGCTTTTCCGTGATCAGGGGTAGTAACTTCACCTTGTGAAGAATATGCCTACACCATAGCATAAGCTAACACTCACATCAAAATGATTATAACGTATGTAACTTCAGTAATTTACAAAGATGCAATTAAATTAACTAATATCAATTCCATAATTACCTTCTCACAGTGAGAATCAACATGGTGCATCTTGGACATGAAATCAGATTCCTATATAACATAAATAGAAAATTATATTACTGTTAGAGTATTAATTAAACAATTGAAAATTAATAAATCTAAACTCAATGGTGAACCTGTTCATCATTTTCGTTAACATTGAATTTCTCAATAAGAGCTTCATCTCTTATGAATTTCATCACACTGAAGGTTGAATTGTAGTTTCCAATTTGTTCCTTCCTAATCTGAACCTTGAACAGCATTGACACATCTACAACCGCCTCTATCTCAGCCGGAACATAACTCTCCTCACGTCCACTCTGATAATAATTAAGTACATTTCGACTAACCACATGTAGCAACTAACTTACAACAAATGATACTTACGCTTAACATCATGTTTTGACACTCAACTGCATCCTTTCCAAACATTTCTAGCCCAATGTTATCCCAAATGAGTAAAGGTGCATTTCCAGTAGAGTCAATCACTCGGAGTATCACTTTATACCTATTGCATTTATACATTAGCCTTGACAACATTCTGTTTTTTTAGGCATTTGAATCATAGTTTATAAAATATTTATATTGAGAATTAATATCACCTTGGAATACCATCAGAATAAGGTTTATCACACTTGGTGCAGTAAAATTTGGAACTGGTTTTTTCCAGTTTCTTGCGACATTTAGTGCACAAAAGATACCACCAATTTTTATCGCTTTCAATTGTGACGACCTTGGCATAAATCCAAACGCTTCCAACCTAAAATCAATCATTTTTATTTATTTAAACAACTCTAATCCTGTAATGTTGTAAACATTAATCATTCACAACAACAATAGTCTCAAAATTACCTCCTGAGTCTCATAGATATCTTCTATTGTTTTAAGTGGTTGCTCCAGACTCTCAAACTCTTCAGAAATGCTCATTTGTCTGTCTGTAGTTACTGAAATAGTGCGTATCGGCTGAGTGAGAACATTCACTTCCTGCAAGCTGTATAAACACAAAACATGGTATAGTTATTTAATTATAATTAACTATAAACGAAACCAGGATAAATTCCCAAACCTGTTCTTGAATTCTTGAAATTCAACATCATCTCCATTAATGACAACACGCGTGACATTGTAGTTGGTTGATGTTTTTGGTTCACCTTCATTTGCATATTCAACAATCGTTAATCAATTTTTCTTTTTAACTTACTAATACTAATTACTAATGGGAACAAAAAATATGAATCCACATTATTTTAACATTTGCTTCTTCCCAAAACAACAACCTTAGTAAGTGGCAGTTTTATAACAATATAAAATTTATATGTATTATTTGAGACTCGTATGTATAAACATCAAATTTATAAAGATCTTATGACTTTTTGGAACAAAAGGACTATTGACTTTTCATTAAAATCAACTTCATCGAGCCATGTATGTATAAAGTTCAACTTTTTTTTTTTTGTTTCCCCCGAATTAACAACTTTGATTTTAATTGACACTTTTAATAAGATTATTTTTAAAATCTGCCATTTTCCCTAATGTACTTTTAAAATCTGCCACTTTCCCTATTAAATCTATTTTCATTATACCATGTTTTGCATTATTTTTACTAAATATTGTTGTTTTGCCGTTATTATACACATTTGAATAATCTCTATTCTCTATAACACACTAACCTCTGAATATTCCTGCCCGACAGAACTGTAAAGTCACAATGACTGGTTCAGTCTGATCATTGCTTATATATGGAAGAATTTGATCAACAAAGTCATCCCAAAACGTGCATGACAATGGATTCAACCTGTATTATTTCACAACACCTACAATTATACATTTGTGCCAAGTAGAAATATGCACTCAAAAAGGCAAACCGTAGAATAAAAATATTAGGGAACCTTGGATCCTGCAAAGTGACCTCTATCAATCTGTGAGGTCTTTCGTGATACATCACTTCTTGAACCGGTTTCTTTGAAACTACCTGTCCAATAGCATCTAGTGTTTTTTTTTACATAACATTATTAGAATGTTTTTTATTATACCATAAAATAAAAAATATCTATATTAAAAGTAATGTACTCACCAAAAAGCTCACTCTCATCTATTATTCTCGCATTCAACAATGATTCAAATCTCTTGAACTTATACACATGGTTAGGAAATGCATCATCCTCGTAATAGATAACCTCTGTCTTTTCATAAAATATCATCTTAAACTTATTATCTGTTGTCCTACACTTCTTTTCATCAATTGCAACAATGAAATGATGGACATCATACAAACATCGCTCCGTAAGAAGTTGTCTATATTTAGCCAATTGCGACAGCCTTATCGTAGCATGAATTCTAGCACCCTACAACAAATACAAATTCACAGCTTCGTTAGATGGACAGACTGAACCCATAAATAATAATATTCAAATAAGCAATGAAATTATTACCTCCTTATCGTGGAATACACATTCCAATCCTCTAACGTCACCAGTGTCACTTATGTTTTCGTACACACGAAGCAAACGCAGACGAAGTGCCCAATGTGTATCCTTAGGCGTAATATCCTTCACCAAACCAAACGTCGGAGACATCTTCAAGAAAAAAACAATCTAAGAAAAATTACATGAACTGTATGAATAATTGGCTGCAAACATCAGTTCACTCGGAAGGGATTTATTAGATTGGAAGAATGTAAAATAACTTAATAAAAAAATTACGTTGATAGTAGCTGAATGTTTAGCAAAGAGCACTTGTTGGCAAAAAGAAGAGGGTTTGGTGGAGCCACTCGACGGGCCATTTATATCAGGAATTTCATTGTATAGCTACAAATAGCATTAATTGCTTGAATGTTGTAAACTGTGCAAGAATGAGAATCGGCAATGCAGGGCATGACTGAGGACTGAGAACAGAGAACCGTGCAATAATTGTTGGTGTATGCATCTTATTAAATATTAATTAAAGTATTAAAGATTAAAGATTTGGCAAAAAGTGTATTCCACATTATTGCTTACTATGTCCATCTATATTCTACAGAGTTGGGACATCCATTTTTTTAGTAACAATTTTTCCCGCCCAACACCCCCTTGTTCTCTCTCTTTGAGACTTTTGTGTTTTACTATATACTTCGTATATAGATCTATATATATTCAAATACTTACAACGCTTTCTCTTTTCATCTGTATTAAAATATTTGCAAGATTGATTACATATGATAATTGGTGGCTCGCTGGTTCAAAAGTTGGTCCATCAATTACAAGAGCGTACAATTAGGAAAAACTTCTTCGCCCCATGATATTTAATTTCACAGAAGAGAAATAAAACGTCAATAATGATGAAAAACAATTACAAGCTAAGCTATGAAGAGGAAAGGATGCAATGTATCATGCAAATGAAAAACTAAGCTAACAACAACACAATCTTTTTTATTTTTTATTTTCTTCCGTTTTAATGCATGCCAAATGCCAAGAAATGCTGAAATAATCAAATCATCCGTGCATGATTGGATATATTGGGTATAATTATATATTCATACCTTAGCTAGATAGAATATCAATTATATATATTGTTTGACAATTTTCGTCATTTGCAATGGAGCCAAAGACTCACTCTTTTTCATCATTTACAATTTTTTTATTATTTTTACGATTCTTTATTATTTTCATTTCATAAGCTACAAAAGTATATTTGTCCAAACACACATATATAGTCCTACTGCAGTACTGCGGGAAATTGAAAAAACGTAGTCCTATTTGTGCTATTTGGCCATTTTTAGTCAAATAGGTAATTCACTCAATGCTATACACTTAACAATATTCATGCCTTAGCTAGATATAATACAGCAAAATGTTTCACTAAATTGTATGTATTTCTTTGTTATGAAACAATAGTCAGTCCATGTAAATTCTGACGCGATTTCCATCATGGTCATCCAAAAACAACCTCTTTGTGCTTTAGTATATAGGTAAGGCTGCATACATCCGACCTCCCTTACCCCACCGTAGGTGGAGAGCCTTTGCGGTACATGGGTAATGATGATGATGTTGATATTGTTTGGCAAATTGGGAAATCTAGAAGGGAAAAGGTGCAAATAGGTCCATGTACTAACCAAAAAAGGTCAAATAAGCCCTCATTTAGGAGGCTCTGTCCGATAATCGTCATTTGGGGTGGTTTCTAGTGGATTTTTTTGATGAACGTTTTGGAGAATCTTATTCATCAAGTCTAGTTTACTCATACCAAATTTCAGCTAAACATTCAATCGGGAAGGCATTAAAATGAATTTTTTAAAATAACTGCGCAGTTAGAATCGCAGTTATCTTCACGAATTCATTTGAATGCCTTCCCGATTGAATGTTTAGCTGAAATTTGGTATGAGTAAACTAGACTTGATGAATAAGATTCTCAAAACATTTCATCAAAAAATTCTAGCGGGAACCACCCCAAATGACGACGGCCGGACAGAACCTCCTAAATAAGAGCTTATTTGACTTTTTTTGGTTAGTACATGAGCCTATTTGCACTTTTTCCGAATCTAGAAATAAGATTATGAACGATCAAGATGGTGCCTCTACAGTTGAAGCTATCGGATCATTTGTATTAAGAATTTCTTTTTATTATTTTCTTGTTAAGATCTAAGGTTTCAAATACTAAAAGGTTCTTGAGAAGTAGCTGTAGATCTTAATATAGCACTTTATTACTTCTTAATTTACCGGTGTGCAGTGGACTTTAACACATCTCCTCACGACCAGACAATTCTGGGCGCATACCACGATTATGGATCAGTTTGTTTCTAACATCATGTTTAGACCTGAATTTCCATCCTAAAAAATCAAATTGATCATCTGATAAAGAGTAACGTAACTAAGATCTTAAAATGACACTTTATTTTTTCTGAATTTACCCATATAGGATTTCAACATTCTTCCTATTAATATTTGTACTACCACAAAAAAAAAAACTTGCCGGAAAAGTGATTCGCATAGATTTATGGAATTATTGAAACAGGACTTTTAAAGTGATTGGCATAGATTCAAAAGACAATTCTTGCCGGAAAAGACAATTTATTTCCAGGTTTGAATTTTGAAACAAAAATCAATTAGATAAAATTTATTTTCAGGAAAATAATTAAACAGTCAAATATATAGTTAGTTATTTTACTACTTAGTGATTTCAAAAGTTTGGGGATATATATTTCTTCGTACTGGTTTATTTGATATAGGAATACTATAAATAGAACGCTAAAGGGTCAAATATGTACATGAACTAACTTAAAGTGTTCAATTAGCCCCTTATTTAAGAGGTTCTGTCCGGCCGTCGCCAATTGGGGCAGTTCCCGATAGATTTTTTTGATAAAATTTTTTGATCATCTTCTTCATTAAGTCTAGTTTAGCCATATCAAATTTCAGATAAAAATGAAATCAGGAAGGCAGTCAAATGATTTTCCGAAATGTACTGCGCTGTTTAACTGCGCAGTTATCTTCAAAAAATCTTTTGACTGCCTTTCCGATTGAATTTTTAGCTGAAATTTGGTATAGGTAAACTAGACTTAATGAATAAGATGCTAAAAACATTTCATCAAAAAATTCCACCGGGAACCGCCCCAATTGACGACGGCCGAGCAGAACCTCCTATATAAGGGGCTATTTGAACACTTTAAGTTAGTTCATGTACCTGTTTGACCCTTTAGCCTAAATAGAATCAATATTGAATGATCGAGTAAAGTGAATATGAGAGACTAATAAGTAATTAATGATCCAAATAATTCTCATATAACTACAAAAGGTCGTGCATGTTTATTAGTTAAAATATAAATTGTTGATAATACGAGTACATCATTGCATTGTATTTATAATACGTAGTATTACTACTGCCTGTGTTGATGAACACGAATGTAAACCAACTATAACATTTTTATTGGGGCACTATTTATTAGTTACGTAGATAGATGTATACTGCGTTAAGTTTGCATCAACTTAAATTTAGTAAAAATTATATACTCCATATATAATTTGTCTCACGCGCGTACTCCAACAGTCAGGATCCGAACTGGGATTGCAGACGGCTAATCACATTTGTGTCTAATAGGAATGCTTTGCTGAGAAGTTGAGGAGGAATAGGAGGATGAGTACCGAAAGAAGCATTGGGTATAACGATGGCTTCTGGGTTTTGCCCCCCAATAGCAAAATACGCAGATGCATTGCTCTCTCCGGTGTTGTACAAGAAATGAATCAGCCCTTTCGGCAAGACAAAAATGTCTCCGAGAAGAAGCGTCTTGGCATACAATTTATTCCTCGAGTCGATGAATCCAACATATAATGTTCCCTCCAATACCGTGAGGACTTCAGTTGCTAGAGGGTGATAGTGGGGAGTGCTCAATCCATACGGTCCAAAGTCCGCACGCCCTATTGAAACACCCATCGTGTTTAGTCCTGGTATGCTTTCCACTCCGATTAGCGTCGGCGCGTAAGCTAAGCGGTTTGATGTGTTTCGCGGGATGTTAAATCGGTCTTGCAAGTAGAAATCATCAGCATTCACTTCTGCTATGTTCTTGCAGATCTTTCCATTCAAAAACACTGCACATTGCATTACATGTAGCTAGGTAATTATTTAAGTCAAGATGGAAGAACATGAGAACAAAATTACTAATGCATAGGCCCTACCTATATATGGAAGTACATATACATACATATATATATATATATATATATATATATATATATATATATATATATATATATATATATATATATATATATAGGGCTCGTTTGGCAGCCTTTATTCTTGTATGATATATTGATCATCCAATTTTTCTTAAATTATACGTAACATGCTTGGTACTGAACTTTAGATTTCATGCTCTAAATTTTGTAATGATCGTTAGTTACTCTTCTAAAATAAATAAATTGGATGATTTAATTTTGATGATGAAAAAGATTGTTTTGGCTTTTGTTGTCATATACTTTTTCTTGGTCTATATATATATATATATATATATATATATATATATATATATATATATATATATATATATATATATATATATATATATATATATATATATATCAAATATAAATGTTGGGACTTTTAAAATAGTTCCAATAATTTCACCTAAGGGTTGACTCGGTCTTAGTCCTATAACGAGCACACAGATAAAAACATTTATCTGCTCCAATGAATAACTGTCTTGCAAGGAGTATTGAGTTATCCCACACAACTAGTGTATGAAAAAACAAACTAACATATAAAGTCTTGAGTTACTCTCCTGTAAGATATGATCAACAACCTAATTATACACACACCACATAGAGAGAAATGTTTGTGTCCACCAATTCGTTCAAATAAAAAGAATAAAAAGTGACATTCCTGTATAAAATATGAAAGCTAAGGACACACTTTCGAATCAGTCTGACTGATGCCCTATTAGCTTACGTGAAGCAATTTCTGGAGAGAAAAAAATGGATTACCATTTCTGGAGAGACAAAAAATGGATTTCCATGCCACCATGCCATAGTGGCGGACCCACCTTGTGTCCCACAGGGTCCCGGTACTCCACAGACTTCAAAAAAATACTTACATACTCCCTCTGTGTTAGACCCTTTTTGGCGGGTCTATATCGAGATATCACGGAATTTTACCGTGTAACTCTCTGTACCATTACATTTTTCACACTTCGATTTGGATTGAAGTTTAAGAACGTGAGAATAAAATGTAAATGTATGCTTGTGGTTGAGTACAAAAAATATAAATCAATGTTAGCCACACAAAACTTTTGAAATAGAGAAATGCGAAGATTTTTTTGGGACGTCACAAAATAGAAAGTGAGAAGAATTTTATTGGAAGAAGGGATCGAAGTATATTATATATATTTTATACTCCATGTAAAACTGACCCATAAATGTACGGGAATTACTGCCATGTTTTGATTCCCAAAGTAGGAGTAATTACTGCCAAGTTTGAAAAATATTGTCATGTTTAAAGTCTGGTACTGTCAAAACATGGTAGTAATTAGTCCTAATTTGGGAATAAAAATATGATAGTCCTATTTTGGAATATACAAACGTTTTTAGTCCTATTTTGGGTAAATTCTTACTCCCTCCGTCCCCCTAATATTGGTATGAAAGGGTGTGGTGTGATTTTTAAGAAAAGTAGAATTATGTGGTTGGTAATGAGTTGATAAATTGGAAATAAAGTAAGAATGATTTAGAACCACAGAAATGTTACCAAATATGGTATGAAACAATAATAAAGGGACATACAAAAATGAAAAAATGGGACAATTATAGGGGGACGGAGGGAGTATATAATAATAATAATAATACTATTATAGGTCCAACAGAACGGATCAAGAGCCTATCCAAACTTATTTATCAACTAATTTTTGCCCATAGTATTGTCTTTGTATAAGATTAGAATTAGGACTACAAATCCTACTTGTCATTAAACAATTATTATAAATAATGACATTTGTGTTATATACATAATCAATGGTGTAAGATAAAACAATATTTTAAAAAGGTCTTTATAAGCATTAAACATAATAACTAATTAATATGAATATTATCTTAGAAATAATATTCTTCAGTTTCGCACATACGAGGTACATATGCCACAAAATTTTATTCCTTATTCAGAAATTTTATCGATCCTGGACCTGAAAGATAGATAAATTATCAATCCGGGACCTGAAAGATGAATTGTATCGATATAGGACCCGACTGATAGAAAACAATCAATTTAGGACCCGAGTGATTGAAAAGTATCAATTCAGGACCTAAGTATCAATTCCATTGAGTCAGTATAGTACTCAGTAACACCACTCTTCACTCTACGAAGTTTATAGCTAGAATGAGAGCAAATCAAGTTTATCAGGAGGCCAGGGAGTTGACATACGTTGACTTTCCATCTAAGTTCACATGGAACAAAAAGAAAAGGGAGTGGTCACCACGGAAAAAGGGGTTTGCGGTTGGGCGTGTGTTCTTTGTGCGTCCCGGAGCAGGTGAGAAGTACTACTTAAGAGTTCTGTTGAATGTAGTAAAAGGGCCAAGAAGTTATGAAGACTTGCGAACCGTGGATGGAAAGATATATGACACATTTAGGGATGTCTGTTATGCTCGCGGGTTACAGGGAGATGACAAGGAGTACGTAGATGGCATTAAAGAGTCAAGTCATTCAGCAATGGCGCGATGGCTGCGTCATCTATTTGTTACTCTTTTACTGCAGGGATCAATGATTAAGCCTGAATCGGTGTGGAAAACGTGTTGGGGGTATTTGTCAGAAGACATATTATACAATCTGAGGAAAAACCTTCATGATCAAGGTACAGATTTATATTAGTCATAACTATTTAATGTTCTTCCATGGTAAAAAATTATTTCTAATTCATATTCTTTGACTCATACCTTACATTGATTACATGTGTCATCTCTTCTGAAGAGTTGGAGCTAGACAACGGAGAAATTCAGAAGTACTGTTTAGTGGAGATTGAGAAGCTTCTCCAACAAAGAGGAAAATCACCGCGTGACTACGTCGGAATGCCAGTGCCCCCCGATTCTTACATCCCCTCCATGGAGGACATTCTCATTCATGAAGAATTGAAGTACGATAAGTGTATGTGTGATGGCTGAAGAACATCAAAAGTTGTTGAAGGATATGACAGATGAACAAAGAGCTGTTTACGAAATAATCATGGAATTTGTCGACCGCAAATGTGGCGGTGTTTTTTTCTTATATGGACATGGTGGCACGTGAAAGACATATTTGTGGAGGACTTTGTCTGCGGAAATTAGATAACGAGGAGAAATAGTATTGAACGTGACATCCAGCGGTATTGCGTCACTCCTTCTTCCCGGAGGAAGGACCGCACACTCGAGGTTTGCGATTCCACTTAATGTGACGGAGGACTCAACGTGCAACATAAAACACGGTAGTCCCTTGGCTAGGCTTCTTGAACAGACAAGGCTAATTATTTGGGATGAGTCTCCAATGACCCATAAGCACTGTTTTGAAGCTCTAGAATGCACTATGAGAGATGTCCTTCGCTTCTCGCCGGAATGTGATGCCGCTGTCCCTTTCGGTGGAAAAACTATTGTATTTGGCGGGTACTTCTGACAGATATTGCCGGTCATTCCAAAAGGCACGAGGCAAGATATTGTCCAAGCGTCTTTAAATTCATCGTATTTGTGGTCATATTGTAGGGTGTTGAAACTGACAAGGAACATGAGGCTTGCACACGTGACCGGATCACCTAGCGCAACTGACATAGAGCGCTTTGCAGATTGGATTTTGAAGATAGGCGATGGTATTTTGGGAGACAATGAGGACGGGGAATCAAAAGTCCACATACCTGCCGAATTTCTTGCTCCGTTGACAGATGATCCCATTGAGTCTATTGTTAACAATACGTATCCAGATTTCTTGACTCATAGGGAAGACATTTCATATCTGAACTCTAGGGCCATTCTTGCGCCTACGATTGATGAGTGAGACAAGATCAATGATTACATGTTGGGGCTAATTCCAGGCGAGGAAAGGACATACTTAAGCTGCGATTCAACATCTTCCTCTGACTCAGATAGCGAGCTCCTTCAAGACATTCATTCTCCGGAATTTCTTAATAGCATCAAATGTTCTGGTGTGCCAAGTCATGAGCTGAAGCTTAAGGTGGGTGTGCCTGTGATGCTTATGAGAAACATAGATCACACTGTTGGGTTATGCAATGGCACGAGACTCATGGTAACTAAACTCGGGACTCATATTATTGAGACTCAGATGATGTCAGGTTCAAATGCTAGTGAAAAATATCTTATTCCCATGCTTAGTTTAACTCCTACAGACTTGAAGCTCCCCTTCACGTTTCAGCGCAGACAATTTCCTCTTATGGTTAATTATGCGATGACGATTAATAAGAGTCAAGGACAATCGTTAGAAAGAGTTGGTGTATTCTTGCGACGTCCAGTTTTTACTCACGGACAGTTATACATTGCGGTATTGAGAGTTACAAGTCCATCTGGGTTAAAATTTGTCATATGTGACGATGATGGTCAACCAAGCAATACTGCTCTAAATGTTGTTTATAAAGAAGTGTATAACAATTTATAGGTTTTTTCATATGTCATTTGTTATATGTTAAATTCTATCTTTTGAATGTTTAAATTATAGTTCTATTATCATTCAAATCCTTACATTCTCGATGAAATGTTTTCCCGTGCAACGCACGGGTTCAAAACTAGTAATAATAATACTATTATAGGTCCAACAGAACGAATCAGAGGAGTGGTCATGCACGCGTAAAACTCCCCTAGCTCGCGAGGTCCAAGAGCCGATCCAAACTTATTTATCAACTAGTTTTTGCCCATAGTGTTGTCTTTGTATAAGATTAGAATTAGGATTACAAATCCTACTTGTCATTAAAAAATTATTATAAATAATGACATTTGTGTTATATACATAATCAATGGTGTAAGATAAAACAATATTTTAAAATGGTCTTTATAAGCATTAAACATAATAACTAATTAATATGAATATTATCTTAGAAAGATCAATTCAGGACCTAAGTTGTCATGAATTTTAT